ACTCTTCGACAGCGTTTGCTGGCTGAGTTGGAGGAGGATTTGAAGCGTGGAGAGTCTGGGTTCAAGAAGCCTTTCCCTGGATCTGGGGCTGGGGCTGGGAGGGATAGACGCAATCTTAAGTCTTATCAGGTTCATGAGCTTGCTGAGGCGAAGATTGAGGAGACGGAGAGGTTGCGCAGGGCTTTTGGGTTGAGGGAGGATCGGGAGACTGGGGAGATTTCTAGTTCGAGAGATTATCGGGAGAAGAGGAGGGATTAGATTATGTCTTGACTTGTTTCTTTCTCCTTTTTTTCTCTCTCTCTCTGGTTGTCTTCTGAAGTAATGGTGTTGATCGGTGTTAATGGGTTTCTTGGGATTATCATGAAAATAGGGTTGCATGAACAAGGTTTTTCTTTTCTTTTCATTGTTGTCCATGCTGTACAATCTTTTTCAAATGCAAAGAAATGAACAATTGGATATCATAACCTCATCTATAATACACCAAAACCAGTACACTATGCCACAAACTTTTCAATAACCCAACCCTCCTTAGGATCCTTCTTCTGCACAACCTTCTTCGCAGGCATCGGCCAGCCCACACTACCCCCATCACCCACCAAAGAAGGAATAACCCAACAAGATCTGCGCGGCGGCACACCCTCAATCGCATCAGCCTTACCAATCGGCTTTCCATACTCAATAAGCGGCGTGTCATGCGCAATCGCCGAGAGCTGCAAACCACTAGGGGCAACAAGCGGGAACATCCTAATCTTAGGAACCTGATCCGAGACCAGCGAAGCAGAAGACTGCTGCAGATGGGAGTAAGTGATATACTTGGGCATTTCCTTGGGCGAGAGCTTAGCAAGCAGCGAAGACGGATGCACATAAACAGCTCGTTCCTCCAGATCCTCGCCCTTACCATCCCGAGAACGGAAGAGCGTCAGGTAAGGAACGTCAATGGCGCGACGGGGAGTGCGGGGGTTCTCCGGTGGAACGGGTGCTTGATCAGCGCGGATAGCGACATGATCGATGAATCCAGCAGTGACGATCTGCTTCAGGGCCTTGATTTGCTTTGAAGAGGGCTCTGGAAGACGGGCTTCGTAGGCGGGGACTAGACCCGGGTTATTTGAGCGCACGATGTCGGTTAGTTGGCGACGGAGCTGGGTTGCTTCTTTGAAGGCCTTTGCGCGGAGGAACATTTTTTCACTGAAGGCGTCGCCGTCGGAGGCGTAGCCGTATGCGCAGATTGCAGAGAGGGATTTTAGAGCGTCGGAGGTGTCGTCATGTTTGCTGAAGAGCCGTTGGGCGCGCGCGTAGGCCTTTTGCCGTTGTTCGCGCTCGTCGTCTTCGAGACGGTCGGCGTTTGTGTAGACCTTTCGTCTGTCGACGTCGCTGTCGCTGTCGTCGTCGACTTGCTTCTTGGCTGTCGTTTGCAGGGGTTGGTTCGGGTCGAGTTGGTTCTCGGGGACGAAGAGGTCGCCCACTGCTAGGGCTGCGACTAGGGCGATCACGTACGGCATGCAGCCGTGTTGGTGGCCGATGTGGAGCATTTTGCTGAATCGAGGGGAGAGGGGGTATGTTGAGAGACGACGGCCGATGGGGGTTACCTGGCCGTCGGCTGTGAGGGCACCGAGGTTCTTGAGGAGCTTCTCTGCCTTTGCGAGACCTTGGCGGCTCGGGGGTGTGGGGAATGGGAAGTTGATCACGTTGTGAAGACCCATGCTCTTCATTTGGAGGACGACGCCTTCGATGGGCGTGCGGAGGATCTCTGGGTCGGTGTACTCAGCGAACTCGCCTTCGTAGACTGCAGAGGAGTACATGCGGTAGCAGTGGCCAGGTCCTGTTCGACCAGCTCGACCAGCTCGTTGGTTTGCGCTTGCTTTACTGATCCAGCCGACTTGGAAGCTTTGGACTCCAGTGAAGAGATCGAACTGCTTCTCCTTGGCGCGACCGCAATCGAAGACGTACTTGATACCGGGGATGGTAAGTGATGTTTCGGCGACGTTGGTTGCGAGGATAATCAGTCGGGAGTTCTCTGGGGCTGGCTCAAACACCTTCATCTGTTCTTTCGTAGGAAGTTGGGAGTATAGAGGTAAGACATGGACGCGAGTTGACGAGTCCATGGCTTCTTCGCCTTCGGCGAGTTCAAAGCCTTCGTCTTCTTCTGCGTCATCCAGGCCGGTGATCTCCATGTCACTGTCGTAATCATCATATCCGGGATTTTCCATCTCAGTGCCGCCTAACTCAAGGTCCTCTGCCTCCAAAGGAGCCTCGGTGGCTGAGAGCTGCACCTTTGCCTGTGTCGTGTCTTCCCGCTGAGTAGGCTTGAAAGCCTGCTTCAGACGCTTGGAAAGCTGTCGGATTTCGTTCTGACCAGTCAAGAACACAAGCATTCCACCGGCGGGTAGTTTGCGGTGTCCGCGCGAAACCTTGCGGAACGCATCTTCAACGTAGTCTCGCTGGGTGCGGCGGGAGAAATGCACTGCAACAGGGTATTGGCGGCCCTCGGCTTGAACCAAGGGGGTGCACCATCACGGAAAAGACTTGGGTTCTCAGTGAAATCCGAAATACGGAGAGTAGCCGACATGATGACGACCTTCAAAGGCTTGACAGACGGATCCTCCTCGCTCAAGGACTTGCGCAGGCCCACAATACGACTGACCATTCCAATCAAGATATCAGTGTTGACACTGCGCTCGTGAGCCTCGTCAATGAGAATAATAGAGTATTTGCGAAGGGCAAAGTCATCTGCAATCTCTCGTAGAAGAATACCATCGGTCATGAACTTGATGGCAGTCTTCTTTGATGCCGTGGACTCGAATCGAATTTGATAAGAAACCTTCTCGGCATGTTGACCCAATTCCTGAGCAACACGATTCGCCATACTCACGGCCGCGACTCGGCGGGGCTGGGTGACACCAATTAGACCCGGGTTAGGGCTACCTGGGGAGCCGAAGCCGGATTCGAAGAGGAACTGGGGAAGCTGGGTTGTTTTTCCACTACCAGTAGCACCCCAAATGACGACAACTGAGTTGTTATGAATTGCTTCCATGATTTTCTGTTCTTCGCCAACGACAGGGAGTCCAAGACGGGCGACTTGGATTTCCTCCGTACGGTCAACCGCAACACTGTAAGCCTTACGATTGGGATCGCCGTGAGTTACCTGAAGCTCCCGCGGGAGAGGTTCTTCTTGGGTGGTATTGTGGCTTGCTGGCAACTTAGACGGGTCGAACACCTGCTCTTCCTCGGTCACGGCTCCCTCGGTGGGTTTGAAGCCTGCGGCTTCGTTGATTTGTTGTACCGCCCAAGATTTGAAGGCTGATTGGCGAGTTGTGAGCGTTGGCTTATCTTCATCCATTTCGTCATCATCTTCACCATCTTCTGAGTCCTCATCTTCATCCTCATCCCCGGAACTGTCCCCAGAGGACGAAGTATCTTCCTCTTCAGAGTCCTCTTCAATATCACTTTCGGACCCTTCGCTCATATCGTCTTCATCTTCATCTTCATCTTCATCCTCATCCTCATCCTCCTCGCCCGAATCAAAGCCCTCCCATGCAACCTCGGATTTTACTGGTGCAGGTGCAGGTTTCTTCTTCGGTGCACGCTTCCGCTTCTTTAGAACAGGGAATCCATCAGCTCCTAGCTCTAATGGTCGCTTAAGTCCACTTCCAGCGGCTGCCTCTTCTCGTAACTTTTGTTCATTGGGATCTGTTGCGGGATCGGAGACTTTTAGGTGGATGTCCGAATCGTCGGTATCATATCCGGAGATGTCTGCGGGAGCATTGTGTTTCGGCGCGGAAACGGCCGGTGCAGATACGTCATCATCCTGTCTCTTGCGCTTGGAAAGATCCCGGGAACTCTTTAAAGAGGAAGTATCGACAGACGACTGCGCTAGCTTTTTCAATAATTCGATGTTTTCTTCCTTCTTGAGTTTGTTTTCCTGCGGGAATGTTAGAGCCATATCTTTCTATTGCGCTTATCCACATACAATATATTTGTCCAAGCGCTTCTGCTTCTTTGAGGACATCTGGGGTTGCTGCTCTGTTAGCTCCCCCTTCAGCTTCTTTCGCCGTTCCTCTTTCTCATCCTTGGAGACAGGCTGGAGCTGAGCGACATTGGTATCAGCCGACTCCCCGTCAGGGTTTTGCCGGTGCCTTTGTTTTCTTAGACGTGGTGTAAATTTAGGCGGCATCTTGAATTACTGCAGCCACTCTGACTGAGAAAATAAGATAATTGACTGAGTATGCAAGCTCTGCGATCCAACTGTTTCTTCAAAAAAAATTAGGGCGGTCGGGATATTGCCAGCTTGGCCCGAGGCGGTGTAACTAGCCACCGCCTAGGACAACGAGTGTTGAACCTCCGATACACTTAGTTAACCTACCTGCAATTGTTTTCTTTCTCTTTACTGAAGTATTACAACAAAGATAAATACTATAAATCACCATGGTTGAATCTTTTGATGCAAGCTCTCTGCAGGATTCCCTTAACCTGCCATTTCCTGCTACCACTAAGCAGATTGCGGGGTTAGTCAATGGCGTACAAACAGATGTGGTGATAATGAACTTTAGCGATAAAATCATGGTCACAATTTCACAAGCAGGACGATTAGCGCATTGGGTATTTATGTCTTCAATTCGGCTTCATCCAACATTGCTAATGGTATATAGTTGCATGTACCGATGGAGAACCAGAACCCAGGCACTGAGGGCATGCACACCCTCGCTGAGGGCGATGATGCTCTTTTGCCCCTCAAGGGTCTAACCACCACTACCTTACTAGGTGGATATTCTCCTGGACAAGATACAACGGGTCAACTACTTGCTCGTCAGATAGCTACGGCTATTGCAACAAAAACACCTAGTGAAAAGAGATTACTCCTCGTTGGCCTTGGACTTGGAAAATCAACTGCTGATAGAGATTCATTTTTTGCTATCGTGGATCTGGTTCTGCAATGCCTATGAAACCATCATAGCCCGATCTCCGACGGAGAACAAGGCAGCCATCAGAACGAGGCGCCGCCATCAGAACAAGGCTTCCGGAACCTGCCAGTCTTCCGGAACCTGCCAGTCTTCCGGAACTTGCCAGTCTGAGGCAATCTGCGAGTCTGGGGCAATCTGCGGGGCGCGCGCTAGGATTCGGGCTCGGTCCAGAACACGGTTCAGTTTCTCCTCTGCGATATGTCCATGGATCCGAATTCTTTCCATTGCAACGAATGCGCCACAAGCCAAGAAGTAGGCGAGATCCCACTCGGAGAAGAACTCATTCTCCCAATTCCTTCTCAATTCGACAATCACCGTGCGAACGGCCATAAATCCCTCATCTCTGTGCTTTAGCATGAACGAGATAAATTTGTAAGCGCGCTTCCTTGCCTTCTTGCGGTCGTTGTCACCCAGCGCGAACTTTATGGCTCGAATTCGGTTCGTCATCAGCTCTCGGAAAATTGGGCATGGTGGGCCAAGGTACGCGTGCTTAGGAAAGTCCATCACCACCAGAGTCCGATTGCTCAGCGCATTGATGTATGCAATCGATGTCTCGGACATCCATTCGAACGACGAAAGTCTCATAGAACTCGGTATCTTGGGGCTAAAATCATCGTTCTCGAGAATGATTGCTTCATTGCAGTCGTCAAAAACATACTTCCAGATCTTTGCGCGGATCTCCAGCGGCAGCCAATCGAGTCGGCACGAGCTTCGTCTATTGGCGGTAATGTCCGGGTGGTAGGTTCTCATGTCTGCAAGGAACCTGTTCTCAAACGATTCCCATTTGCCAAACTGCAACCAGAGCCTTTCCACGAAATTTCCCCCAGCATGGTCGCTGATGTAGAAGAGTGCGCTGTCAGAACTGTTACATTGTCAGATGAAATGAACTTGTTGGTGGTATTGCGCCCCATGGGTTTGAATCAACTTACTAGATGTACGACGTCTTCTTAGGTGTCGGGACGACGTGCACGACTTGGTTGGACTCATTCGGGATAGCCGAATCTCCTGGACCACGGGTTCCCAAGCCTACATTCTCGGGTTGGACGGATTGATACGAGACCCCAGAAACCCAGACCTCGGAAGCCGGGACTTCGGAAGCGGTCACTTTGTTAGACTCGCGCTTGGCTACAAGCTTTCCTCGGAGGCGCTCGCGGGTGGCCGACGCATTCGCTCGGATGCGATGAAGGGCTTTCTTGAACCTCTTCATTGCGATGGATGCTCATGCGAGATGAAAGAGTGATGTGGGTGGGGATCGCGATGTGGGTGAGGACCGTGATGTGGGTGGGGATCGCGATGAATGCTGTTGTCACCGACATAAGCGGTTGTCGGCTCGGCGTCACCCCGACAATATATGTGCCTACGTCTGGCTTGGACATTTACAGACGCTACGACTCGTTTTATCTGAAGAATTCCCAGTGACCGGTTACCCGTACATCCCCGGAGTTAGGTTTATTTTGGTGTTATCATGAGCGTCAGTGGGAAATGGAGGTCTACAGTGTTTTGTAGTAATTGAGCAGGCCATGTATGGTATAGTTCAATCTTGTCTATCTCTTTAACTATCAGGAAAGAAAGGCCTAATCACTATATTAGATCCACAAGGTAATTTGAATCATTTTACCCACTGCATAAGATATCAGCTCGAACTAGATGCAATGGAGTGGGTTAAATATGGGACTAAAAATACAATGAAACCAGCAGATGAATATGTACATGTAGTTAAAGACCAGAAGTATACTCTTGATATTGCGGTATGGCCAGTCACGTGGTAAATATTGACACAGCAGGGGTTGCATACAGCATCTGAGACGACACACCTGTAGGTAGACCGTGAACAAAGTCACTTTGGGGTTTGGGATAATCATAATTCTCCAGACTTTCGAATACCCAACAGCTGGTTCCTGCGAGTCCGTTTAGTGATAGCCCGCGCGTAATGTGGCGGTCTTGCATTTGAAAATCCTCCTTGGGTCTCATACTCCACACATCAAACGTCCCATTATTATCTCCCATCCACATCTCTTTTATCCCCTTTGTCTTCATCCACCTTTATTTCCCGAAAGAAAATCTGCATTTCGGTCTTTGTGGAGTTCTGCACGATGGAGCCACTAGTGGACCCTGAGTTAGCCGCTGCCATTGAGGCTTCTCGCCAAGATATGTATCGCGAGCAGAACAGACATCCCTCATCCCAGGCATCCCAGGATAATTTTGTGGATTTGACCAATGACTCGGGAAACGACTCGGACATTGAAGAGGTATTCCCTAAGTCAAAGTCTGTGGTTAATTCCGAATCTGAAGATGACGAGCATGAGCAGCTACAGCGTGCTCTTGCTATTTCGATGGAGCATAACGAGACCCAAGCCCCAAACAATGCACAGACTCTCAAAAATGCAACTGCACCCCGTGAGGATTCTGTGGCGTCGGCCGGCTCACTCCTGGGCATGAACAGGAAGCAGATGGAAGAGGAGCGTCTTGCACGTCTCGCCAAGCGCAAGGCCGACGATATTTCGTCTACTCCGCCATCTCAGGCCAGCCGGAAGCTCCCCAGGACTGACCCTTTACCAGCCCGTAATCCTGTTGCTCTACGCAATCCGTTCCAATCAGCCCCGCAAGAGAATACGGTTCGAGTGAAATCTCGCACCGAGGTCTGCCGCCAGTTGGCATCAAATGCTCCGAATATTAACATCCAACCGACCTCTCGCTCAGTGGCCCAATGGCCTCTTGGAGCTGTCAAGAAGACACACATCACCGGTTTCCCTCGCAGTGGAAATGAGATCACCATTGAAGAAGTTATCCAGCGAGATGACTTGGAGTTGGGTGTATTTAGCTCGTTTCTGTGGGATATGCCATGGCTTTATTCCAAGTTCAACAATTCGACACGCATCTTATTTGTTATGCAAGCAAATGATGAAGAAACGGTTAGTGATCGATGCACTATGACCTTGAATGACACGGACTAATTTGAGTGCGTTTACAGCGAGAGCAATATCGTCAGGACATTAGCAGCATGCCCAATTTTCGCTTGTGTTTCCCACCCATGGAGCCGCAAGTATTTTGTATGCATTCTAAGCTGCTTTTGATGTTCCACCCTGGATATCTTCGTATCGCAGTTCCGTCCGCCAATCTCACTCCTACTGACTGGGGAGAGGATAGACTTATGGAAAATGTATTTGAGTACGGCTACCTGATGTCCTTGAATTTTCTAACAGCATGCAGACTGTATTCCTTATTGACCTTCCCAAGCTCGAAGTTCCTGATGCTGGAAAGACTCCATTCTACAAAGAACTCGTCTACTTCCTCCAGGCATCCGATCTCCACCGCAACATTATCAAGAAGCTAGATGGGTTTGACTTCAGCGAGACAAAGCGCTATGCGTTTGTCCATACAGTGTATGTATTTCCCCTGGCTGATTCCCACATCAAAAAAGAACCACCAGCTAACTATACAAGTGGCGGAACCAACACCGGAGACAAATGGCAACGCACTGGATTTAGTGGTTTGGGTCGTGCTGTCAAAACTCTCGGCCTAGAGACAAACGCACCCATCAACGTCGACTACATCGTAAGCTTCTTTATCTACTATACTTCCATACATAATACAACGATGGGCATACTAACATCCAATTTAGGCCTCATCGCTGGGAAATCTCAACGCTCCATTCCTGCGCTCGATCTACCTTGCCTGCAAAGGTACGCCATCATCTTCCAAAAACCCAAGACCGACCAACTAATCTAATCAACCCCAACCCATAGGTGACAACGCCCTACTAGATTACGAGCTCCGAACCGCAAACAAGAAAAAAGAAACTCGCACAGAAGTGGAAGCCTATAACCAAGAATGTCTCGACCACTTCCGCGTTTACTTCCCCTCAGACAAGACCGCATGTGACGTCCACAGCAATGCTAAAAACGCTATCGGCACGATATGCTTCAATCCAGCCTGGTGGTCCGGTGCCAATTTCCCACGTGACACGCTTAGAGACTGTGTTAGTGAGCGTGGAGTCTTGATGCATAACAAGGTGAGTGTTTCCGCGGCTAGTTATAATGATTTATTACTAATGCGCATTTATTCTGGCTTACAGCTTGCCTTCGTTCATCCTTCCACCCCGATCGAGATGCCCGATAACAAAGAGTGTCGGGGTTGGGCTTATGTGGGGAGTGCGAATTTGTCGGAAAGTGCATGGTGAGCACATATCTATACTCCTGTCGATGAAAAGACAAAACTAACATGATCCAGGGGTCGTATCGTCAAGGATCCCAAGACAAAACAGCTGAAGATGAACTGTCGCAACTGGGAATGCGGCGTTATCGTGCCTATCATCAGTGAGAAGGAGACAGAGAAGAAAGATAAGGGACCCGAGACGAATGGAACTGCCCCTTCAGCCCCTCTCCCCGTCGAGGTCTTTAAGGATACCGTTCCTATCCCAATGAGAGTGCCCGCTGCTCCGTTGTCGGAGTACCGGCGGCCTTTCTTCTTTGGCATTTGATTTGAACTCCAATCTTAAGTCTTGACCTAAATTGAAAGTCTTGAGCCTTTGTTCACTCTACTTCTGAGTCGAATCTACGTCTACATCTGCAACATCCAGTGAAAGTCTAGATTTTCACTATCCTTTGTCGTGGGTATCTGGGATATGAGTTCGGATCGGGTTGCCTGGCTCAATGGAGAACAGAATGAATGGGAGGAAACCCCTGTATGTATTATCTAGCAACTAAGCCGTGACCTCGAAACAAAAGACAGAGAAATAATAAAAAAAAAAACCAGTTCATGTCTTAAAGCAACGTGATATGACTAAAACTATATAATATGAATCGAATAATAATATCTATATGAGTGTGCATATAAGCACCACTTCTGGTATATCGAATATCACGCTCTCTGTAAATGCATGTTGGAAATGTAAAAAAAACCACCAAAAGAAGGGGAAAAAAGCATCACCAAAATGTGAAGCCCTAGACTGCATCACTCTTCTTCCCCTTAAACAGTCCCTTCACACGATCAATCATCAGTCCACCGAAACCAAACAGCGAACCAATACCAAAGCTCCAACCTCTGACACGAACAGTGTAAATGAAGAAATAAACCAAAGCCCAGTTAATAATAACAAAGGCAAGGAAAATTCCAAAACAATGCCACTTATCCTCAACATGGACATTCAAGTTCGCCATATACTGCTCACCATCCCGGTAGGGACAGTACTGACAATCTGCCGTAGCCTGGGGGTTAACCAGGTATCCGACCTTGGCGATCGAATCGACAAAGTTACCAGCATAAGCAGCACAAGTCTGTCCAGGAGGAGGATTGAAATGAGTAGCTTCAAGCGAGGAGCAATCAATCTGGACAGCAGGCAAAACAACCGAGAGCACACCGCGCAGCCACCATGTCATCGGGTTGACGTAGTACATCCAGTATTTCCAGAAGACGGGGTAAGCGTCGTATGGACGGACGATACCGTTGAACAGATTGACCATGACGAAGAAGAAGGGGAGGGTGTTCGAGATGACAGTGAAGGAGGGCGCGAAAGCGCAGACCCATTGGCCCCACGATGCCTGGAACAGGAAGAAGAGCATAGTCATCAAGAAGACGTATCCTGCGTTCGAAGACTCGGTTGGGAATCCGACGGGGTAGTACCATAGCAACCAGTAGATCAGACCGGAGATGATGGCGGCGGGGATCTCGCAGACGACGTTTGCTGTGCAGAAGGCGACCCAGCCGTAGATTCGGGATGGGTATTCTCGTGCTTCCCAGATGGCGCGGTTGATGTAGAACTTCGGGACGATGGAGTTCAGCACGATGGGTGGGATTAGGATGATGAGGAAGACGGAGAACATTCGGTCTTGCATTGATGCTACTGTGTTAGAGAGCATGTAGAAGGTGAAACCGTTGAAGATTCCGATAATGACTGAGACGAAGAGTTTGCCGTAGTAGTAGGATGGATCGCGCCAGTAGTTTTTGAACAGACGTTTGGTTAGCTGGAGGGTTTGGGTTGAGGTTGGGGCGGCGAATTCGTAGTGGGCCGAGACGGATTCCTCGATGGGGACTTTGCTGCGCTCTGCGCGGATGTTTTCGATCTCGGTGAGCATTTCGCGGTTTTGGTCTGAGTTGCGCCATTCTTCGTTCCAGTCGACGAGTTTGCCGTTTCGGTGCGTTGCTTTCGCGGCTGTTTCCAGGATGAATTCTGCGACGTTCTTTGAGGGTGGGCAGACGAAGCCGCGG